CTAGAAGCTGTAGGGCCAAAATGGGAGACCTCAAGTACCTGGTGATAAATGAGAAGGCAGATATAGTGGGCATCGCAGAAACCTGGAATACAATCATCTCTGAATATAAATGGTATAGGAAAGACACAGAAGGGTACACACAGCAGAGGAAGTGTTGCCCTCTATGTTAAAGAGGGCATAGAGTCCAGCACAGCTGATAATCTATGTATGAAGAGTCCTTCACAGAAACACAATGGGTGAAAATCCCTGGCTCCAGAACTTAGTTATAAGAGTGTGCTATCGTCCTGCAGACCAGAATGCTCTGGGTCATCTTGAGATGGGAAATGAAATCAGGGAGGCCTCCAAGAAAGGCAGTACTGCAATAATGGGAGACTTCAAATACCCACCCATTGACTGGAAAAATGCACGTTCCAGTTACGACAGAGAGGTTAAATGTCTCAGTGTCCTAAATGACTGTGCCCTAGAACAGGTGGCCAGGCAGCCAAGCCAAGGGGAAGCAATCTTGGATCTGGCCCTAGGCAGGGTTGCCCCGGACATAGTACAGGATGTAAATGTTGTTGATCCCCTGGGTAACAGTGACCATGCTGGTATCAGATTTAATATACAGTCAGCTGGAAGACTGCCAAAGAGGTTGAATGCAGTTGCATTTGACTTGAAAAGAGGAAACTTCTCCGAAATGAGGGAACTTGTAAAGAAGAAGCTAAAGGAGGAAATCAAGAAGTTTAAATTGCTTCAAAGCACTTGGAGATTATTCAGAAACACTGTAATAGAGGCACTGATAATATGCATACCACAAGTGACAAAGGAGAGCACAAAATCCAGGAAATCACCAGCATGGTTAACACAGAGAGTCAGGAAAACTATTAGGTAGAAGAACGCATCTGTCAAAAAATGGAAATGTTGCACAAATGAAAAAACAGACAGGACCACAAGCTTGAGGGAGACAAGCAGATAATCAGAGAAGCAAAGAGACAGTTTGGTGATCACATAGCTAACACTATTGAGGCTAACAATAAAGCATTATTTAAACATATGAAAAGAAAGAAAGTGGCTAAGGAAGCAGTGGAGCCATTGGATGACAATTGAATTAAAGGAACACTAATGAGGGTGAGGAATGAGGGATTGCAGAGAAGTTGACTTCTTTTTGTCAGTCTTCACAGCAGAGGACAATTGGCAGATACCTGTCCCTGAGTTTATGTACTATGGAAGGGGTCTGAGGAATTAGGGCAGATAGTAGTGTCAAAAGAGTAATTTCTCAACCTTATTGACAAACTGAAAGTAAGCAAGTCTTCTGTGCCAAATGGCATCCATCCTAGAGTTATCAAAGAGCTCCATGAAATCATTGACCTTCTTACCAAAATATTTAACATGTCCTTAAAATTAGCCCTTGTACCAGATAAATGGAGAATTGTCAATGTAACACCAATTTTTAAAAAGGGATCTGGGGGAACCCAGGAATTTTAACATCTGTTTCTGGGTTAGCTGCTTGAAAACACCTTTAAAGGTAGAATCAGTAAACAAAGGGACAAGCACTGCTTTAAAAAATCACCACGCCTTATGTAAGGGGAAGTCTTGTCTCACGAAACTATTGGCATTTTTTGAAAGTGTCAGTAAGGAGGTAGACAGGGGTTTACTTGGACTTCCAGAAGGCTTTTGACAAGGTCCCTCACCAAAAGCTCTTGAGCAAACTAAGCTGTCATGGATTAAAAGTGGGGGTCCCCTTATAGATCAGTAACTGGTTAAAGAACAGAAAAAAGTGGGTGGGAATAAATGACCATTTCTCCCTATGGAGAGATGTAACCAGTGGAGTCCCACAAGGTTCTTTATTAGGAACAATGCTTTGCAAAGTATTCATAAATGATCTGGAATTAGGAATAAGTAGTGAGATGGATGAGTTTGCTGATGACACTAAACTTTTTAGGTTGGTTAAAACCAAAAGGGACTGTAAGGAGCTTGCTTGAAGCTGGGAGAATGGGCATCAAAATGCCAAATGCAGCTCAGTATTAACAAGTGTAAAGCATCCTGGGCAGAAAATCCCAATCTCAAATATGCACTAATGTGGTGTAAACCAGCAGTGCCTGAGCAAGAAAGGGATCTTGGGGTAGTGGTGCACAGCTCGATGAAAATGTTGGCCCTGTGTTCAGCTGCTGTGAGGATGGCAAACTCCATGATAGGCACCATTAGAAAAAGAATAGAAAACTACCAAAATCTTACCTCTCTTATACAGAGGGGAAAAGGTTGCCCTCTACTAGGTTGAAGCCTGATTTTCCCTGTGCTCTAAATTCTTTCTTCTGCCGGCTCATCAAAAGTTCTGCCCCCTCCCACAATTTTTAAAAGAGAATAGCAATTTTCCATCAGTAGACAAATGAGCTTCAATAGGTGCTTAACCCAATGTTAAGCACACAATTCCTGGGGTATATGTTGTTTTTATGTGCTGCGAGATCATCACTGACTTATGGTGTCCTTATGAATGGATGCCTCCAAAATGTTCTGCCCTTCAGCTCTTGTAAACTCAAGGCTTCCTTTATCTCATATCTGGTCTGACCTTTCTTCTTCTGCCCTTGACTTTCCCTAACATGACTGTCATCTCCATCGAGTCCTTCCTTCTCATGATGGGCCAAAAGCACAGCAGCTTCAGTTTCATTGAGCTTGCTTCTAGAGCAAGTTCTGGCTTGATCTGATGTACAACTCACCTGTTTGCCTATCGGTGCAGGGTATTCTCCAAGCTCTCATCCAGCACCATCTTTGGGACGCATCCTTTTTCCTCCTGTTCACTTTCTTTATTATCTAGCTTTCCCTGTGCATAGGGATTGGGACACAATAGCTTGGATGAGGTTGACCTTGGTCTCCAATTACAACAATTCCACCACAAGAGGAGACAGGCTGCTAGCAATAGCTCTGACCCCAACAGACTAGGCAGCTGGCCTTGGTTTGGGCTGCACTGCTTCTCCTTCTCAAATCTTCCAGAACACAGTTGTTACCTGTCAGTCTGGATGAAGCATAAGGAAATCCACTTGCCAACCTTCACAGTATCCTTCAGGATCTATGGAGTCTTTTATAAGTTTGGACCAAATAGTAACAAGGGTTGCACATTAAAGCTTCCATAGTAAACATGATTCATACCAATCCAAATAACTCAACTAAATGTTTAAGCAGCAGCAGAAGTAAAAACAATGTAGATTATAGAGCTGATAAATTCTCTTATTTGCTTTATTTTGTCTGGACAAAAAGTAATTAAAGCTGTAGAAATTTAATTAAGGCTCAGCACTCCATGTTAAGACAAAAGAAGACACGGATATGCTTCAACTGAGCAGGGCAAAGGTAAGATTAAGGATGGAGTTGATGAAGGCACTGCATCCTTGCTAGAAATTAAATAATTGGACTTAACAACGGCCTTACTGTAAATTATCTTATTAAACATGCCCTTGCTGTTTTTGCTTCGTCCTTTTTTTATACAGCGCCCAACTGCATGCTTTAAAAAAAAGTGGAAAAAAGATGGACTATAAAATGTAATGTAAAAATGAGCTAACAGAGCCAAGTAGCATAACAAAGAAAAGAGCCACAGCCAAAATCGAGCCATTTTTACTTATTATTGCTGTTTTGTAAAATAATTATTTCCTCCGAAATATGTGGGTCTTACAACCCGATTCTATGGGTTACTCTCAAGTAAACACGCATAGCATCAAGAAATTCAAAGTTAAAATATGCGGCCGATTGCACCACGCTGTCGAAGCCTCTTTAGGTGAAGGAAAAGGGTTAGAGTGAGGTAGCCTGTCTGGGCCCAATTCTAAACGCGTTTACTCGGAATCAAAATCCGTTGAGCTCAATGGGATTTACTTCCGCATAAACACACTACGGAACCAATACGAATTAAAGAAATCTTCAGCCCCAAAGGGCACTCCCGACCAATAAGCGTACTATTTCATTGGCTCTGCATTGTGTCAGTCACTCCTCAACCAATCCAGCCGCGACTAGCTAGGGGAAGGTCAATGTATTGGCTCACCTAAACCCTCCTCTCTGGTTATTGCCGAGTTCTTGCTGATAGGAAGCGGAGCTGCGGCTTGTCAATGACTGACAACTCTAGTGTCCAGTCAAAGGTAGACACGGGGTGACGTCACTCGCTTTCACCCACCTTCCCATTAATAGCGGGTCTGGAGCTGTTAACAGCTAGTTGCGGCTGGGTTTGCAGCAGCGCTGTTTGCTGATTTGCTTTTGGTGACTGGACTCTTCTCTCAAGGTAAATCATGGTCTTGTGTGTTTTTCAATGGTCTTTGCAGGCAGATTTCAAGTAAACTGAAGTATGGGAGCGGGGACCTGGGAAATCTGGGTCCTAGTCCCTACTTGGCCTTGGACGACGTTGGGCCAGTCGTAGATGCTCCACTTAGCCTACCTCACAGGGTGGTTGTGAAGAGGAGGAGAACCTTGTAACCAGCTTGGTTCCTTTGCAAGAAATATGCAGATAAATGAAACGTAATAATAGTAATTCTTATAATTGGTTGATGGCCTGGGACACGTTAGCCTGGTGAAGTGCACCTCCTTTACAGATGTTGGTTGGTTGGTTGGTTGGTTATGCACCTTGCTGCATTCTTCTTTTCATAAACTCAGCTAAAGAGGTGGCTCAAAATGATGCTGGGAAGCAGACCGGAGACACGTGCTACCAGTTAAAGGTATTAGCGTTAAGGGGCATGTCCTGTTTGTATCTCCTTACAATCTGAGTCAGGACTGCATCTTGATACTCAGCCATGGATTCAATCCACATATCGTGCCGTTTTTGCTTCAGCCTTAAGAATCCGAAAGTATAGATAATGTATAGATGGAGATAAGAAATGTATATTCCATGTAAGGTAACATGAAGCACAGAAGAAATATGATAGCACAAATTATACCTCTTCCTGGAATTAATGCAAACAAAATAGTTTTTTTTTTTTTATCTTGGAGCAACTCAGCACTGCAACCTTCTAAAAATGATTTAAAATAGTAATACTGATCTAGCAGAGCTTCATCTGTAGACAATTAGCAGGTGATGGTCTGCAGACTTATGCAAATTTATAATACTGTTAGAAGGGTCTGGAACTGAATAAGCTATTTTCCCCTTGACTGGTTGGTAATCCTACCTGTAATGTGGGCCAATATCCTCGTACAGAAGGAAGAGATCACCTCATTTCTTTCTTATATGTATTATGTTTGCCACAAAATTATGAAAGACACTTTAATCAGTTCTAATTGGTTGGTTATATTTGTATATTGAGTAACTATTTCTGAAGCAAGAAGCATATTTTGTTTTCAGCTGTATGCATATGCTGTATCACTGTAGAAGAATAATGCCTGTTGTGTGTGAGCGAAGAGCATGCTTCATATTAACCATAGATAACAGGTACCATCTTTTCTTAAAGTGCAAAATCTAACCAATAATTGAGAGCGTGATTTAATTGATGAGACTTTGTAAAGTTCTATTAATTTAATCCAGGGTGGGATGACTTCAGTCTTGTGCAATTGCTTTCTTATGAGAACCTCCAAAACCACCAACTGGTGCATAATACCTAGCTTTAGAATTAAATAATTTTAAGCCCAGGAATCTGTTTGAGAAGAACTGAATGGAAGCCACAGCCTTCCCACACACAACTCTGCTTTTTATCACCTCTTCTCCGGTCTGCCAATTTCATTTCATCCCCTATAATTAATGGGAGTGGCAACTCATTTATTGTTGAACAATTGGGAGTAAAAGGAAAAAAAAGTTGCAGACATAAACAATAGACTGTATTTTGTAAAGCAAAATTTAACATCCGGGCAGAAAAAAAATCTGCAGTAATTGTGATGTTGAGCTTGGTTGTGTTACTGATTTGTAGCATTTTATGTTCTGTATGTGATAAGAGTGCGCACACATTGTGGGATGACAGAATTGTGTCTTAGAACATCAGTCTTTAGTCTCAGCAATCTTTAGCTTGGATCATGCTTGTCTGCTAGCTATATATTGTATAGGTTGAAAGACTTTCTTGTGATGGTTGGGCATGTCTTGAATTGGAGATTCTTTTTAGATGTAACCAATTGTTATCTAAGAAATTAATAGGGCAAATCTGAAAAATTTCAGCATGTTAACAGACAAACTTTTGAGACTAAAGGAAAAGGAAGAATCAAAGTATGCGGTAATCAAAGTATGAGTTTTAGAGAGTCCCAGAGCACAAAACCACTCTTCCCAATCCACAGTTTTCTGTTTCTGGCATCCATCTCACAGGCACAGACTGGTAAGTCTTGCAGATGAGTAACTTGGCCAAGGCCAAGATAGAAGTAGAATCTGAGCTCCGAATGACAGTCACCCCACAAAACATAACAAAAGGCTTATTTCACAGAAGGCAGCTGGTGCTCTGAGAAACGCACATCAGGCGAAATGCATTTACTAAAGGAAGCCAGGGAATGCACCACCTACGCAAACCCACAGGCAAAACACTCCCTTGTTCTCTGCCATCTCCTCTAAGTTCAGCAGATAGTTACATATGGTAGAATATCTGACATCCATGTTTGACTGGTTCTGTAGAGTGTCTGGTGATGCCACATTTGCCCCATCAGCAACACTTAGGGGGCCAGTAAATAGAAGGCTCTGCACTTAAGTTCTTGGGTGGCAGATGCCAAGGTGAGGCTTCTGTGTTTTTCCATAAGGCATTCAGCAAATGCAGTTTTTCTCTCTACTGCATAACGTGCAAATGGTAATTTCAGCCCAGCAGGATAAATGAGGAACAGCCAGGTATAGGACATCCTTCCCCAGCCTGGGATTTGGCTTATCACTCTCATTGTCCCTGCTCATTGGTCACACTGACTGGGGCCCATTTGATTAGTAGTCCCAGAAGCACCCAGATTGGGGAAGGTGTGTGCAATGGTTAGATTAGGCTCAGGAAGACGGTCAAATTCTTGCTGTGCCGTGAAACTCATGAGTGACCTTGGATCAGCCATGGCTCTTTGTGGGCCTAGTCTGCCTCATAGGATTGCTCTTTCTGTTTGTATTTTAGGATATGCTTCTTCAGGAGCAGCATAACAAAGCTAACATTAAATGATACAGGGAGCCATCCTTGATCATAACAAAAACAAAGCTAACTCTCCAGAGGAAGAAGATGCAGCGCTTTCAGTATACTTTGACTTTTTATTTTTTTGAACTGCATTGGCGAGTTTGAGAAGCTAAAAATGGCATGAGGGATGAATACTGTCATGTGGTATGAAGCTTAGTTTGTATACCAGCCATGTACTTCATTGTCCCTGGATTGCAGTTTGTGTGTCAGCTTATTGGGCAAGGATAGTTCGTAGATGTGCTTGTACCATCGTTTGACCTCTCATCCTCCTTAGCTTCTATCTTCATAGTCATCACCCAGAAAGCTAATCAGGTTTTTCTGGAGAAGGTCTTCACTGCAAGTCAGTAGTAAAGCTAATTTGGGGCTAAGTCAGATGGTTTGTTTGGCACCTTTGGAGCAGAACTGGGAACCTGTGGCCCTCCAGATCTTGTTGGGCTTCAGCTCCAGCCAACATATTTAATGGCCAGGGATAGGGAAGTTGTGGCCTTGGAAGACATTTCTCAGCTTTGTTCTAGAATCTAGACATTTAACAAAAAGTGCCTCTTGGGACCTCGTTGTCACTGAACAAATTGTGGCCCATGCAGACACTCCATGGGCCCTCCTTTTTCCATCAACATATATGAGATAGTGCTTTGAACATTTGCTGCTCTGTTGCCATTGGTTGCATTTAAGCATTATTGCTTTACAGAAGATTCCTTTATCTTGACCCAAGTAGAATAAAATGATTTGGCCCAAAGGGAGTCCATCCCTTTTCTACCTTCACAAGGTTGTTCAGGAAATAGAGTAACATAGATGTCCCCTTGGTCATCTTGGTGGTAGGATGGTTTAACATATAATACTACCTTAAAGGTGCTTCCTACTGGAATTAATGCTGAAATTCTCCTGAAACTTGAAATCTCATGCTTGTCCAGTGTGGAATAACAGCAGTAATCTTCATCTCTCTGTCTTCCCACTGTGCATTTTTGATACTGATGGTATTTCAGAGAGAATGGGGCTGGCATGGCTCCAGAATATCTCAGCAAGTTTCTTCCCCTTCTCCTGAAAGCCCCTTTACTGCTGTCTCAGGTTATGTTCCTGACCTTGGAGAGCAGCTGGTACAGTTCTTTTAGCACCAGGTACAAGAAGGAAGTGAGTCAGAGTGCCATTTTCAGCTCTGAGGTTCAAGTGCTGTCTCCCACTTGTGGGTGGGGGTTAATTATCCTGTGTCCCCTCAATGTCTAGGGTCATAAGATTGTTCCCCAGTTACGCTCACTAATAAAGGCACATGGTCCTGTCCTCCTTTTCATTTAGCCATCCTAGGGTGCTGGTGCCGGAATCAGTCCAGGCAGTCCTGGCCAAAATTGTGAATATGAAGCCAATCTTGTTTCCATTCCCTTGTTCAAAAATATATTACATGCCTTTACTTCCTGGACAAAAAATAAAGCAGCCCAGGTTCAAAGTGTCCGCACATTTAGCCTGCATGTACAGGCACGGAGCTGCCCCTCAAACCCCATCCCAAGCTGTCTGTCTGGGTATCCTGCGCAGTCACGAGCCCCTCTGTGTTTGCTCACTGATGTTCCTTGCACAAGCAATTTGTCCTGGTTTGCCTCTGCTTTGTTTTCTAGCAGTCTCATGGAAATACGAGGAATCACTCCTTTCTCCCCAGACTGATCAGGCGACAGTAAAAACAAAGGGAATGCTCTAGCCATCTCTGTGCATGCTCTGTTTGACTCAACTAATTGGCCCTTGTTTTCTGTCCGCAATTCTAAAGTATTCCAGACAGTTAGGTAACTAGTGCAATATGATTCAGTACTATTCAGAGTTTCCAGCTGGGGTTGCCACCTCCTTTGCCTTGAACAGCTGCATGACAAGCAGAATTTCAACATCAATTCCCCTCCCCACACCTGATGGGGGGGGCACAGTGATGTGGGAAATACTTGCCTGTTATGGAGGTGTTAAAGCCATGGGAGCCCTGTCAGAAAATGCTGTCAGTAGCATTTCTACAAATTAAAGGGGTGAGTGTAAGTTGCTATTGCTTCATCTGTACCCAACATTCAGAAGTTTATGCTTTCTCTACACAGAGGTAAATGTCACTGGAAAAGCTTCATCAGCTTAAATTCTGCATAACGGCAGCAAAGCAGGGCCAGCGATAATAATCAGAAGTTTTAACTGTAATGTAAACTCTCCAGGAGGACTACTAACAGTGCATGTAGACTAAATACAGCATTGAACGTTTAGTCTGACCATTCCTTCAAGACATCTGCCCATGTTTGTGGAAACCGCTAACCCAGGTGTGGGCAACTTGGAGCCTTCCAGATGTTTTGGCCTCTGTCAGCCCTCACCAGTGACTGTGCTTAGGTTGATGGAAGTTGTAAGCTAGAACAACTTTAGAGACACAAGAAGCCTGCCCTGTTGTGGGGAAAGGGAAAGCACAAGCTGTAAGCACATGGCATGTTAAACTGCAACCTTAAAAAGCAATTGGCAGGTATGGCATATGTGAGTTTCCCCTTGAGATACACTGTGTGTTCCTCTGGCCAGGAGAGGGAATTTTTGGATGCACACATCCCTTGGAGTTAGTGGCAAAGTGTTTGAATTCCAGCCCTGATCCGCTTCTTAGCATCACCATGGAAAAAGCAAGACTGTGTTGAGTTCTGTATTTGGCTGAACGTTAGAGAACCCTTGGCAAACTGCCTCCGTGCACGGTGGTGCGTAGGCACCATCACCATTTCCATTCTGCTGCTGTCAGTGCTAATTCTTCGGGATGATGTGACTGTGGAGAGGGCCCAGCAATGAGAAGCAGGAGTAGGATAGGTGCAGGTGACTGCACTATTGCTTGCTGTCCTGTATGTTTGCCCCTCACCTGCCCCTGATGGAAAGCGACTTGCCTGGATGTTACCAGGCAACTGAACTGTTCCACAGTGAGTAAGCTCACCTGCAGGTGGGCTGGTTCTCTCTAAAGTCTCACAGTCTGGTGTATAAGCAGTGATATTGTCTGGACCTTGGCTTGGCATTGCTGGGTGCAGCTGTGTGTTGTATTTGAAATCATGTCCGGGTGGGTGTATTTAAGGGCCAAACTAAATGTTCTCTCTCTCTGTGGAGAGATGCTTCAAGTAGTGCTGTTAGTGAACCATGCTCCAAATCTTCTAGTTAAATCCCTTCCCTGAAAAGCTGCTAAGCATGCACCAGCCTTCTCCAAACTGGTCCCTCCGTCTTTCTCAGCCGGCATGACCAAATGGAGGGCCTCAGATGGAGACAGCTGTCTTGCAGTAACCATGTTGGGGTGGCTGTGTTTCTCTTGAAGTGCAAATGGCAGCTTTGAAAAGTGATTTAATCTGAGTAAATGGGCTGGCGAGTGAGTGGAAGGATGTGAGAGCTGCTCCTCTACCTCTCCACCCCATACCAGTGGCTTTGGTCTTCTAAAGGGGCCGGGAGACCATCCATAGCTGCTTATGATCCACACAGTTGAGGGCTTTGCTATAGTCTAGAAAGCATAGACTGATTTTTCTCTGACTTTCTGTGTTGCTCTCCAGGGCCCAACATATATTTGAGATATGACTGCAAGTGTTCTTTTCAGAATTTAGCTTAACTGTCAGCCATTGCTCTCTCTAACCAGCATACAAAGCAACAGTTAGTGGAACATATGGGCAAAATTGCAACCATATATCAAGGTATATGTGTGGTTGAAAATGAGTGTTACAGGTGTTGCATACTATTATGAAAGCTGGATTCCAATTCTAGAATTACCTGCTCTACTTTTCCAAGGGCATGCATGGTATGTATTTGATTCATATGGAATATAATCTTGACTCCTGACCATATTGGAATATTTGGGATCTCTGAAGCAAAAAGAAATACTAGTTTTATTTCTCTTAGGCTGCAGTATTATGTGTTTTGCCTGAAGTTCATATGAAATTTTTTTTTCTTTTTTCATCTGATAAGGTGAGTTTGAATTCTTTTATGTGACATGCATTGCCTTTTAAAAGTGATAATACTGTAAGATTTTTGGAAAAAATCAAAGTGGTCTTTTCATAGCCCGAAACTTCTTTATGAGAACACTGCTGAATTGTGGGAGCATCCTGCTTGGAAGCAAATCTTCTGGAAATGTATAAATCAAGTTGACAACTATGTTTGGTTCAAGGGATTTGCTTTTGTGAGTGATACCGGCATGATGATTAGACCAAAAACCAACCAACCAAAGCAGCTCTACAATTGCCAGCCGTCCCTCGCCAGCCATACTGGGAGCTGTAGGGCTTTTTATGGTCTAAACATGCATAGCATTGTGCCCTATGTGAGTTATATTAAATAAGTTCTGTAGGGATAAAGGAATAGACTGCAACTCAGGTAATCAGAACACTGCAAGTAACTCCTTAATCGGTAGGCTATCAAGATAAAAATTCAACAGCAGTACAGGGCATCAGAGAGAACTGTTTAAGGAGAAAGTGGCATGATACTTAATCACACGGGGAGGGAATTTGCAAGCTGGATCACTTGCCTCTCATGTGCTATTTCCGTGTGCGGCCTTCTCCCATATATCTGCTTGAGGGCAGAGTTTCAATGGGTATGTGGTGCAGGCACTGGCCTTCAGGATGTATGGAAATTTCATTCCCCTTCACAAATAATATGAGCATGTTCTCCTTTGCAACCCAAACGCAAGCTTGGGGCTGGGACTTCAACTCCATAATGCCTTCCTTCTACCCTTGCAGTCAACACACTTCTTTTTGTACTGGCTGCAACTCTGAAATTGCAAGTCCAACTTTGGAGCCAGTGCTGAAGAAAACTGGGGGGTGGGGGCAGGGAATAATGAAACTCTACTAGGATAAAAGGAACCCCAGTGCTTTCTCAGACCCTCGAACTCACAAGCAGGGACAGAAGACATGAATGGACAAAGCACTGAGTCAGAGTTTGCCTCTGTGCTTCTTTTGTGTTCAGGAGGATGCGCATGATCTTCCAACTTTGGAGGCACCCTAATTTTAGCAATCCCCCCAAATATGCATGATATACTGACAGTGCTCAACTGTTCCACTGGCGTTCAACCTTCTTCCACTAAGGTGGTAGGTACATCTTCAGTTTTCCTCTCAGTATGTGGTAGTACCATTTCACCCTGAAACTCAGATATTTTTAAACGAGGCATCCATTCTCTCACTCACCTGCTAAGGACATTCAGCTGCAAATCTTAACTTTGAAAGTGCAAACTGTCTCATTCTGGATCTGCAGTTGGCATATCACTTAGAGATATTTTTAAAAGTTGGTGAGTGGGGCATATAGATCTGTTAAATCGATAAAATGCATTTATTTTTTACTAAGGAGCTTATAATAGATACCATTTTCTGTGGAAAAGAGAAGCATGCCACTGCTTGCCCTTCACATTTTCTCATGCTGATGGTTGTTAAAATTAGTTTGCAAAGTACAAAAACAACACACATTTTTATTTCTGCAGGCGTTTGTACCCCATCTGTGTATTGCTAAGACATGAGATTGCAAAATACAGGACAAGAACTGATTGGTCAGTCAGACATCAGTAAAGAGAAACTTCAGGCTGGATGAAACAGAGTGTAGGGAAATCCTTCTGTAGGGATCCTGGAAAAGAGCCTCTTCCAGTTCAGCTGGGCAGAAAATGCTGTTTGGAAAAACAACACTTTTGCATTGCATTGTGTCAAAGCTAACACTGGAGTGAATTTTCCCTAGGAAGAAATTCCAAAGTGTTAGGGCTGCTTTTGAAAAATGCTGTCCTAGATACCGCACCCCCCCCCCCGCACACACAGCAGCCTCATTTGTACGTAATGATAAATCATGGTGTATTGTTCCATGGATGCCCCAGTTCAATTGCAGCAGTGTAAGATTCTCCATGGAGCCATGTTTGAGTTGAAGGGAAGCAGGGTGCCCAGGACAAAATGTCAGTAAAGCTCTTGTGCTCATTCAGATGCTTTGGCCTCCATCTTGCTTTTCCCCCCTCATTGGCTACACTAGCTGTGGCTGATGGGAGTTGTAGGCCAAAGCATTTAGAGGGTCACAATTTGTTCTTGCTATAAATCATGGTTACTGTTGCATCCAAACCCAGCTATATGATGTATTATTTTTCAGAAACAAATCCTTAGGGGGAAGGCAATGAAAATCTGTTGTGTTCCCATGGGAGAAGGTAGTCTTTTAAGTACACTGCACCTGATATTTATTTGTTTATTAAAAGGGTTTCTTATCTGTCCACTGCTAGCGTCTCGGGATGGCTTACGAAAGTGATGCTAGACGCTTAAACAATCAGGACTCCAGTCCCATGGGAAACAAATCTGCCTACAATTTGCATATATTTTATGCCTGTATGTGCAGGCACAGAAAAAGTAGGATTTATTTGAACTTCACAGAAGTCAAAGCCAAACCATTCATTTTTCATCCAAACTACAAAATTTGCATCCTGCCCCCAAATTATCCACAACTGCTTGTAAATGTCCGCCTGTTAAGCTTCTGAGGGAGATTTGGTGGGGGTATGTGGAAAGGGGGGTGTTAACTTTCTCAGCTCCAGTCCCCCTTCAGAATCGCTTTCTGCATGGCAATTAGCACAATTACCCCCCACAAATCTTCCATTGGCATCAATGGACACTCAGAGTTCTGTGATCTCAGCTCTTCAAAAATAGGTTTGGGTCAAGGAATGCCTCTGGATGTGAATTCATGAATGTTTCAAATTTCATGTTGCTGAGGAACCCTATCAGCTAATTTGCTGAGAATTTCCTGCATGGTTGCTATGGACCCGAATAAGATGCAGAGCATTTGAGACATTGTCTACTGCATTCATTCAGTTCATGTGTGGTGCTAGTTACACCTCTTGAGGTTCCCTTTGCATTCTTGGTTGAAGGAGGGCAACTGCATTCCTGCTACTACATTCCTGCAGCTGTAGGTTACGGATGAGGCTCCATGGCAGTGGACAAACTGCTTCATCGGGAAACCCTTGTCTACCTTCTGAAGAACCCTGGGTAACTTGCTGCAGAGCAGTCCAAAGCCTCTGACCTATTTCTTTTGCTTCCATATAGATGCTTTATCATTAGGCCCTGCTACTTCGCCAACCCAAGGAAGGAACTTCCTCTCAAGATGGCCAAATATAGGTTAGTCCTGCTGAGGCATGGTGAAGGGGCCTGGAACAAAGAGAACCGCTTCTGCAGCTGGGTGGATCAGAAGCTGAGCAGCGACGGGGTGAAGGAAGCTCAGACCTGCGGCAAACACCTCAAAGCGCTCGGTTTTGAGTTTGACCTCGTGTTCACGTCCATCCTCAGCCGTTCTATTCAGACTGCCTGGCATGTGCTTACAGAGATGGGGCAGGAGTGGGTTCCCACCGAGGCTTCCTGGCGGCTGAATGAGAGGCACTATGGTGCGCTGATCGGCCTGAACAGAGCAGAGATGGCGCTGAACCATGGCGAAGAGCAGGTGAAAAGATGGCGGAGGAGCTACGATGTCACCCCCCCTCCCATCACAGAGTCCCATCCTTATTATCATGAAATTTATAATGACCGGCGATACAAGCATTGTGACGTACCCTTGGAGAAACTTCCGAAGGCCGAAAGCTTAAAAGAAGTGCTTGATAGACTCCTTCCCTATTGGAACGAGCGCATAGCACCGGAGGTGAAACGGGGTAGGACGGTTCTCATTTCTGCTCACGGGAACAGCACACGGGCTCTGCTGAAACACTTGGAAGGTAAACAGTTGGCACTAGTTTGGTTTGGTTTTAAGCTTGCAAATGTAGCATAGTCCTTGTCAAGTAGCATTTTATTCTGATACTAATCCAGAAACAAAATCTCCTTTCCCTTTCCTTCCTGTACTGTTGGTTTTACACTGGTTTAACTGGTGTAACATGTCCTGAAGACTCCTGGGAATTATAGTCTAGCCAGCATTCCAATAATTCTCATAAGACAGCCTTAGTCACCCTTGGGAAAACTGCAGGTCGCAGGTTTACTGGAGGAAGGAACTGACTATTCAGCTTGTCTATGCAGCCTCCCACAGCCTGGTCCCTTCCAGGCGCTTTGGACTACAAATCTCATTACTGGCCATGGTAGCTAAAGCTAATCAGGAATGCTAAGAGTCATAGTTTAAAACATCTGGAGGATACTAGGCTGGGAAATCTAGACTATCATACGCTTCCCTTAAGTGCCTCTTAACTCTGCATCTAACTAACAAGCTGGATTATTGTTACTGATCATTTTTTGTAGTGCTTCTTAGCTTGTAATGTTCGCTAGACAGTCCTTGTGTTGGTCATCCTTCCAACAGTGTGAGGCAGGTTAGGCTGTGAGATTGTGCAGCCTATAACCTTCATGGCCACTCTAAGGTCAAATTTAATCCTGTTTCTGCCCAACAGTGTAATGCCAGGAAGGCTCACTGTGCAGCTGTTCTATTAGGCCGACTTTTCCTGCTCATTCTTTCCAGATGTGTTGGACTGTAACTCCCATTGTCCTCAGCTAGCATGGTGAAGGCTGATGGGATTTGCAGGCCAAAGCATCTGGAGGGTGGCACCATACCCACCCCTGATGTTAGGGTGGAGGCAAGAAGGGGGGATCTATGGGGTGCACATATACCTTCATGCATTGGTAGGGGAGCTTGTTTTTGGGAAAAGAAATCAAACATGCATAAACAACCCCAAGGAAACAGCAAGCTGAAGTAGGGACTCTTGTTTCCTTGAGGGTAATCTCCTTCCCCTTCCAGTTTCCTCTTTGGGAGCAAGTAGGTAGTGTCAAGACGGTCAGGGAACAAGGTGGGCCAAGCATCTGTGTGGAAGTGTAGAGGGGGAACCAGGTTGGAGAAGATGACCCCACACGGGGGTGTGGTGGAGCATGAGCAGAGATGCTGATAGCTTGCCTGGCAGGACCGGAAGGGACTGGTTAGCACATCAGTTCGCGTGTGCCTTGCCGCCACTGTGCTTTTGCTTGCTTCCGCCCTCGCTGGACGTCCCATTTGGTGTGTGTGTATTGCATGCATGGGGCGTAACTTGGGGCGCTCCAGCAAACCAGGTAGCTCCCTGCTGCTGCGTCCAGTGCCGCTTTTCATCTGGGTAGGATCCCACTGTTGACTCTAACTTTTAGCACGACATTTTCAGTCAGACCTACATAGGTGATAGCCCCACAAAGGTCAGCTAGGGTCCTGAAAGGCTGAGAGAGTGGGTACTTGTTAATAACAGTTCCTAGGCATTTGTGAAATTTGGGGCAGGTGACTGAGTTGAGAGCCTCCATCTTTCCGCATGGTGTGTCTTAATGTCCTGCCAGCCCTATCTAAGCCCTACGGTTATAATGACACAAGAGGCAGTTAGAAAGAAGCATAGGAACATGAGGTGATCTAACCTGTAGTTCACATGACTTGCTTGCTCTGTGCCAGTCTTTGTTCTGCTTGCCAAGTGATACTTATGTTTATATAACATGTTTATGTATCTGCAAAATGAGGAAACCAGGCATTGTTTAGACTGCAGGAGGCTATATAGGCAATGCTGCAGGTAATGCTTGGGCTAGCAAGCTCTTGTTCCAGTTTTGAAAAACATACGGCGCAATCATTTGTTTTTTGTTTTCAATCTAAACAGACATAGGATTGTGGTAATTGTTTTCAAGCAACAGCTTTCAGCTGACTCCCCTCTTTGACTCACTCTTAATGCTTATTTTGGAAATGTAGCCTCTTCAAACAGAAGGTAACAAGTTCTGATGAATGTGCATGGAGTGTGTAGGAGGGATTTTGTGGTTTTGCTAATCACATAAAAGCGTGTCTGAAACGGCAAACGAAAAGGCCTGACAAGGTTTTCCTTGTTCTTGTGTTAAATGGTAGGGAAGGATCTGAACAGGATGTGCTCTAATGCTTTCGGTAATGCTTTCCAGGTTGTGGAAGAAGGTGATTTATTTAGTGTGGTGTGTGTGAATCTTAGCAGTTGGCCTGAAATACTTGTTTTTCTATATTCAGGCCCTCTCAGTTAAAAATGGATCCTCCTGTGAGTGCACATGGCTTAGGGAGTGAGTGCCAAGCAAATGACATAGCATAGAATTATTTTGTAGATGTCAGCCCTCCAGGAAGGCATTGAGAGGCAGTTGCATCTTGGGGACCAACCCCTTTGCAGTGGGCGAAGTGCCCCGACAGTGACTGACAGGGCCTTGCTTCCTCAAACTTCCACCTCTCAGTGCAAAGGAACAGAAGTGCAGCTTTATTACAGGTGCCCCATAAAAGATCCGAGAGATGAGCAATGGCCCACAAGGTGCCTACTGAAATCAGTGCTTCTCCCTTTGCTGCCTGTTGTTGTTGTTAGATTTTTATACCACCAAAAACCTGAAGCTCTCTGGATGGTTCACAAAGCACATTAAAATAAATATTAGATGCATTGTATTAAAACACATGAATGCATTCTACCAGACCCTAAACCACCTATAAAACAGCTTAACATAAAATAATAACTTGAACTAAAAGAACTGAATTGACAGCTTAGCAGGCTGCAGTAAGCTACTTGAATGCCCTGCAGTAGAGGATGGTCTTTACCTGGTACCAAAAAGAGAGTCATGTTGGTGCCGGGTGCCTTTCAGAGTGCCTGTATGAAGCCCCCACCTGCTTCCTTCAAAATCCAGCCTTTTCTGCCTTTGATCCCATTGCAGAGATGCTGAACTTCACACAGGTGGGCCAAATCTGCCCCCTCAGGCTCCCCAGGTGGCCAAGCCCCTTCCCCACTTGCCATTGCTTGCATGTTTTTCTCTATTCTCAAGTTTGAAAAGTTTTCCTTAAGGCTTGCCTACTGGCAGGAGGAACCTTAAGCTAAGGTGTGCTGCTGTTTTGGGCTAAATACTGAGATGTAGCCCTTAAGAGGAGCCACACTGGATCAGATCAAAGGTCCGATTCAGTCCAGCATTCCATTCACACGGTGGCAAACCAGCTGCCCACAGGATCGCTTCATCAGGATGGGTGCGAGACTTCTGCCTGCCCAGATCCTCAGGAACTTGAATATGCAGGCATGCCACCTCTGGTAAAGGAGGCAGCACTTACCAGCATTGCTTGTCGTCAGTGGTAGCCTCTTCCTCCATGAATCTGTCCAGTCCCCCTTTAAAGCTATCCAGATTGGAGGCCATCGCCCCTTCCCCAGGCAGCAAATTCCACAGTTTAAATACATGTTGTATGAAGAACTTCCCGTTTCTCTCAAATTTAATTCATCCTTCAGACTGAAATTGGCTTGGTGTCTTTGCCCTGTTGTAGCCAAGTCAAAAAGTCTGTAACAGAAGTACTTGTACTAGCGGACAAGACTGCAGCATCTGCCACCTTCCCCTTCCGTCTTTTTGTGTGTTGAGGTTTTAGATTGCAAGCTCCTTGGGACACGGCCCGGCCCTGCCCTGCAATACTTTGCAAATCAGTGCATGCCTTGATGGTGTTGCGTGGATCCAAAATGATCACGGCCACAATCCTTGACAAGCCACAGAATGGACAGGGTGAAATACGCCACCACCTGGAGGTGGAGTAAATGGTGGTGGTTGCAGGCAAGCTCATTTTATGAGCACAGGTTACTCCCAGGTAAGTGCTTACCTGGGTTACAGCCTTAAATAGAAAGGCCTTCATTTTCTACAAGTAACATTGCAAACGAAGCCAATAGGAGGAGGAGCACAACAACCTGCTGCAGGCCAGGTGTGCCAGGTTGGAAACAGGAACCATACATTTTGTAGAAAACGAGTGTGTTGCTGAGGATCGCCTCAAGCAGTCCTCAATACAGCATTTTTGGGTATCAGACTGAACTTTATGACATAAAGTATTGAACTCGATACTGAACACTGTGTGGGAATGATGATTTCTAATGATGCAAAGAAGCATTCCCCAAGTGGGTGCCCCTGGATTTGTTGGACTACAGTACCCAGTATCCCCAGTCAGCTATTCTGGATAGGCTGGGAATTGTGATCCAACACATCTGGAGGGCACCAGCTCTGGGAAAGCTGCTTTCATCTGTTTTCTAACCCCCCACCCCCAAATCATGCCACACATTGTGTGAGTGTATAAAATTCAATTTTTCCCTATTGATTATTTTGTTAATGTCAACAAAACAAACATGAAACAAACGAACACAAAAGGAACCCCCCCAACTGAATAAATACTGAGGTGTTATAAAACCGTTAATCTGAATGTATTGGTTATACCTAGCTTCAACAAAGGTAGATTGTAAAATCTTTTAAAAAGCATTTTGCTCAATCCTTCAAACTGCCCCCCTCCGCCCATTGCAGGGATTGTCCAGTGGGGGAATCCTCCCCTGGGGCTTCACATCTCTGTGTTGATGTGCCTTCAAAATGTCACGGCTGATTTCTTGTTGCACCTGACCCTTCAGCTTAGCTGAGCTGGATGAAATCGGCTGGGGATGCAAATGCTGAGGGTTGTGGATACAGAAATGTAATGAAAGGTCAGCTGGTTTGGGTTACAAGTCTCTAAAGTAATTGGACACTGGCCTTGGTTGACCTTCGTGTTGTGCATTAGCTGGTCGATAACTTGCAGAGATTGCCCAGCCGTGGTTTTCAGAATGCTTGAGATGAGACCAACCGAAGAAAGGCTCTAAAGTCATCTGGGGCCAATTTTCCACTTTCCAAACATCCCTCAAATCCTCAGACAGATTTCAGGCTGTCCTCCTAATAAGAGAAATGCTATGGAGTGCCTCACCTATGGATGCTGATTCTGTATGCATGCAATGGAGAGCTATTTTAGAAGGTGGTGAGTTGCACATATGAATTGAAAGGGTGCAACTGCTCCTCCCAGTCCTGAATGTGGGGGCTGATTGGACCCAGAAGCACCACCAAGCCTCTCAGTGCAACAGGCATCTTTTGTGGCGTTCCTGGCTGCCGGTGTTGGAGGGCCTTGGGGCAAGACACCCTACATGGGCCCCCTCCCTTGCTGAGTCTCTCTGCCATGGTCCCTGGCTGCTTTTGCTCCTCATCCTTTCCTTCATCAATGGCTTCCTCTTGGTTGCTGGTGAGTAAGGAGCTTGGGGCATCTTCTACTCTTCCTCACAACCATTGCTACCTTGGCCAGAACAAAAGGCAGGTGACAAAGCTGGTTGCAGAGGAGGAGCAAGTCCAGAGGGCTCTTGGCAGTGGTTACCTGCTAGGAGGTGAGCCTTTGGCAAGTACCTAAGTGTGCCTACGCTTGACACCAGCTCTGCCTTGTAGTGCCATCCCAGTTCATGCCGCATAATAGCAGCATCCTTACTCTTTGCATCTTCCTGTCTCTGCAGTTCCCATCAGCTTAACACACTTATCTTTATTTTAAAGCCACTCTCTTAAGCTACTACTTCCTGCCTGTAATGAGTAGCACTTGCAACTGGAAGGGGATGGCTATGCGGTAAAGCATCTGTTAGTGTGTCTTGAGGTCATTCAGTCAGTGGAGAGCCCTATGCAAGCATGTATGCGAAAGCATCTGTTGAGGTTGCCCTCTCTAGCCTTGAGCCAGCTAGCTTGATGCAAGCTTACTCGAAAAGTTCCTGGGATACCCACGGCCTTCCCAGCAACTGTGGATTGCATTGCAGTGTTAGCAGAGCTGTGAATTTCCCAGGGTCTCACCCTCCACCTCCTCTCCTAATGTGTGAAGCAGCTGACAAATGTGCTACTTCGAGAAGGTTCCCTATTTACTCAGCTGTCAGCAAACTTCCCAGTATTTGTTCCTTGTTCTGTGTTTTATACCAAGAGGGGATGGAAATTCTGAAGCCCTTCCGTGTGTCTCCTGCCCCCCCACCACTCCAAGCAACCAGTGATGATGATTGGGACAAGTTCTGTCTTTGCCAGCTGCAGATGGTGACGTGTCTGGTTTTTGTTGGCATAGCAAGATTAATTGCCAATCTCTCTCGCTCTGCTCTTACTGAGCCTTGGTTAATACAGTGACACCATTGTTCATAGTCATACTGACTCCTCGATTCTGCCCTCCGATGCTCGAGGCATTGGCTCATCGGAGAGAGGGATGAAGAAAGAGAAGATCCTGCAGGGCGGTCAACACATTGCATAAAATGCACCCAGGGCTGGAAAGTTGGGAAAGGGCTGCAGAAAGCACAGGACATCACAGAGCTGTGGGACTCTGCCTCAAGACGTGGCTGCGGGCTTCTGTGTCATGTTGCACACTGGGCAAAATTATGGAGAGCAGGGGGCTCTTGTGAGCCACTCAGGGTTTCTGAGAAAGGAAGGCGTGTCTCATGGTTCTAAAGCAATATTAGTCTTGAGGTCCATATGGGAAGTGCAGGTCCTCTCTTTGAACTTCAGGCCTCATGCCTCTGAATCCCTGCATCTGTTGGGAGGTGGGGTGTGTGTATGCATGTGTGAATGTGCACACTGGGACAAAACAATTACCTTCAAGCCTTGCTTGTGGGCTTCCTGGCTATTTCTGGCTGACCACTATTGGAAACTGGATACTGGCCTGATTCAGCCCCAATCTCATGTTTTAAGACGGAAGGAAATGTACTTGCTGGCTGCAAAGATACAGTATATCACAGAAGTGAGTACACCCCTCACATTTTGTAAATATTTTATTATATCTTTTCATGTGGCAACACTGAAGAAATGACGCTTTGCTACAATGTAAAGTAGTGAGTATACAGCTTGTATAACAGTGTAAATTTGCTCTCCCCTCAAAATAGCTCAACACACTGTGATTTTAGTGGGATGCAGGTGGTGCAGTGGTTTAAACTGCTGTGCTGCTGGGCTGGTTGATCAAAAGGTCGCCGGTTCGAGTCTGTACAACCCCTTGTGATTTTAGCAGAAGGTAGGAAATACACTCAGATGCCTTTTTCAGGGCTGGCCAAAAGCTGGTGGTCAGTGGAACATTGCCCCCTTGTGCTGGTGGTCAGCAAATTCAGGTTAGATTGCACTGTTGGCACTTTGTGATAAATAAGTGCATTTTGAGTTGCTGTTTGGGCACTCGGTCTCAAAGGTTCGCCCTCGCTGCCCTGGACCCTAAGGTCATCTTCTGAGGCCCTTTCTCAGGTGCCTCTGCAGAATGAGGTGGAGAGGGTGGCAACTTAAAGAGAGGGCCTCTTTTCTGTATTGTTCAACTTAATTTTCCTACAGAACGCAGTATAAATAAAATCCTTGGGTGTTCCAAGGCCTGATGTTGCAAGAACAGTGCATTCTTAAAGGCATGTTGGTTTTGTATGAGAGGGACTTAAGTATGTCTTGGAAAAATTGGGGCTTCGTGTTGGATATATCTACTGTTCTCTGCTGGTCCAAGCACAGAGACTGCAGGAGGCATTGGTTTCTGCCATCAGCCCTGTTGACATGTGGGCAGTGACGGATCCCAAGAAAGGGCTTAATGACACATGAGGATTCTCTGATGCAGCCCATGGGATGACTGATGAGCATGGTAGACTCTCGGGGGAAAAGGGGCTAGTAAGTAGTCTTGCCTTTGAGTCCAGGTGGTAAAAGAGATAAGAAGTTGCTGTAAGGATATAGCCTCTTTGAGTAGAAGACCAGAGTATTCAGGTATAATCAGGAGGACAGGACAAACCATCCTCTGCCTGTTGAAAAAGGCTTAAGGAAGGGAATTTCCTGGCCGCGCAAGAGGCTATTTAGAACTGAATGTAACATTTATTCCTTCTTTTGTAGGCATCTCTGATGAAGCCATAGTCAACGTGACTCTTCCCACTGGCATCCCAGTGCTCCTTGAGCTTGATGAAAATCTGTGCGCGCTCGGCCAGCACCAGTTTCTTGGTGACCAACAAGCAATCCAAGCGGCTATCAAAAAAGTGGAAGACCAAGGGAAAGCTCCACCTGTCCTTGAGAAATAAAGACCTTTGTATGAACGCTTTGCCCCTCCCTCTTACCATGCATAGTGAGGAACAACGCTTTGTGATTGCACTATGCCAATTTTTGTTTAAACTTCTCAGCAAGTGGTAGATAACGGCAGTTTAAATTATAGCATTTTATCAATGGAGACTAGAGAGCAACTCCTGATAGGAGTAGCAGCGGGGAGTGAATTGGGTAGAATTAGGCTAGAACAACAGAACACTTCTGTATAACCATCCCACATCCTTTGTATAAAAGAAGCCCAGTATATATGGAAGTATTACAAATCAGTGTCTAGTAGTGTCTTTATAACGTAGAGGGAAAATGCCTTCTGATTAACCTAGAACTCAGGGGTGGGTTACATGTTCTCAGGTTGACAAATATGATTCTTCATAGAATGCTTGTTCCAGAACGTTGGGTCTTCTGCCCTCTGAAAGTTCTTCAAATTGTTTATAATTGGGCAGTGTCTGTTTTCAGATTACTCTTTGTTAGACAGGTGTTGATTTTATAGCATAACTGATGCTATAATTTGGAATGGAGTCCTTTTTATAAGCCCAAAAATACTCTTCTCCTGAATCTTCCCAAGTTTTGTTTTCTACTTTGGGAGGAGACCAGTGAGAAGCAAAGCCAGTTGGATTTGATTTTCACGTAAGAATGAAGAAGGTTGAATGTTTATCACTTCAAATCACCCTTCCCCAGTCTGCCTTTTAAAAAGATTTGTCAACCTATAGGGTTGCATCAAACCCTTGTTGTCTGGCAGTGGAATTGAAATAACAGAACTGAATTAGCCATTCCTTGCGGCCTCTAGTATGCCACCCAAACTCTATTTCAGAGGGTTGGGACCCTCTAGAGCAGATGTGTAAAAACTGGGGGCTACGGCAGGGGAGGTCAGTAAGGAAGAGTCCTGTCAGATTCAACCTGTACATTTGTCTTAGAATTAAAGTTGAATTAAAGTTGTGTTTGACAGTTATTTACACAGAAGAGCGAGAGTTTTGCTTTTGTTCACAACAGCTCCTTTGCACTGCTAAGCTATGTAGGAGCTCTGTGTGCTTCTGCTGTATTTTTTTATGACATGGTACAAGGCACTGGGTCCAGGTGGTTGTTTTCCCTTCGACTTCCGTATGGTGCATGTTGATGGAAGACTAAAGTTATAGAAAGCAAAATATAAACTCCTGATTGCTATTTTGGTCCATTTTACACTTCCAGTGTGATCTGCGTACCACAGTGAGCATCAAAACAGCTGAGGCTGTGTGCGCGCAACTTCTTTCATTTTTAAAATGTATATTAAATGTTTCCAAGGCTTAACAGAGTGAAACATGATATAAAACAATTAGAGAATAAAATGGTATTTTTATAAGCAATGTAACAAGTTATCTAACAAATGCAGTCATGAATTAACAAAGATGACTGGGGATAAACAAAAAGCTAAAACTCCACTGATCTGTTGGTGAGGGATGGGGAGAAGAGAGAAGAAAAGGGATTCTTTCTCATATAAAGAGAGCCGGTGGTGGAATGGTCTCCCCTTAATGGTTAAAAAGTGTGTGTGGGTGTGCTGAAGTCTCCCCCCAACCTGTAACTTGGCTCCTGTTAGGGTACAATCCTGTGATTTTCTGGCATTGCTGGTTGTGTCCTCACAACTGGGCCTTAAGGCGAGGGAAAAGGGATGTGCTGGAGGGTGAGTCTGAGGAGATGAACCTGTTCCAGCCTCCTTCCCTTCCACTCCCCAGCACTAAATATAGATAGGCAAAAGATGAGAAAATACTCACTCCGTGAGGGTGTAAAAGCTGGGCAGTGAAGAAGCTGGCAGGAAGAAAATGGATGCCTTTGAAACAAGGTGCTGGAGGAGAGCTTTGCAAAGCCCCTGGACTGGCAGGAAGAAGAACAAGTGGGTCCTGCATCAAGTCAAGTCACAGCTTTCCCTCGAAGCAAAAATGCCAAGACTCGGGCTGTCATGCTCAGGATGCAACATGGGAAGACAAGACTCACTGGAGAAGGTAAAGTTGAAGGCAGAAGAGGAAGACCAAATCGGAGATGGGTGGGCTCCATCAAGGAAGCCACAGCCTTGAATTTAGAACAGCTAAGCAGAGATACCATGTATAAGACATGCTGGAGGGTTTTCATTCATTGGGTCTTCCTAAGTGGGATATGCCTTGATGGCACAAAACAGAAAATGCGGGGTGGAGCAGTGAAAATTCCTGCTACCTCTTGCTTTTGTCACTGGACGTGTTTGGCCTCCAAATTCAGAGGCCTACGTGCCTCCACTGTGCAGGTGATGGGATTGCACCTTGTTACGGTAAACATTTTCTCTGTTCCTTGCTCATTTCCAGTGTTTGAAGCACAAATGACCAAAAGTACCCAGAGGAAAAGGAGAGGTTTCAGCACCTCTCTCTCATGCACATATTTATGGTTAAATTAAGACTCAGCCCTTGGTTTTATAGGCGAGTGAAGGCCCTACCATGTTGACTTAGAACTGCTCTGGGAAGTGAAGAGGAGGTTGGCAGGAAGCAGGCGCATCTGTGCGTACTCTAGCAGGGTTCATGCTTGTTCTCCGATGTGACGCCACTGCTTGGGTTTTAAGTAACTTGGTTAGCATGGTGCTCCAGGCTGCAGTCGCCACATTTCAGCTGCTCTTTATGTAATTTACCCAAAAGAGGTGCATAACTTTTCCTGCACTTAACATGTGGGGAACTGTGTGTGTGTGAGATAACTTTCCTCTGAGGTTGTTTTTTTCATAATTTTTGCAAAGCCCAATTTAAATAATAATAAAGGATCTGGGTATCTTTTTCAATGTTTTTATGAAGTTCTCTTTTCAACCACAGAACAGCCACTTGGAGGGCGGCATGTCATCCTTATATCCTAGTTTTTTCCCCTTCCTGGTGACCAATATAATTTCATTCTTATAATACAGAGTATATAATATTCTGCCTGCCTTCTTGAAAATGTAGTTTGTTGTGGTAGTGATTCACTCATTTTATCTTTTTGCTGGATCTTTTGTGCCAATGAAGCATAACTTATGTTTTATCACAAACTTCTTTTTTAGAAGCATTTGAGATTATCTTTGAGATTAGATAGCAGGTTACTTCAAGAAAGAAAGAAAAATCCCCACAGGATTGTCAGATATCCACATTATAGCAAAGAAGTATGCGACTTCGCACCCTTTAAATCTCCACTGTGCATTTCCTGGGTCCTTTGGCTGCTTCAGATGCATCCCTTTTTAAACTCCCACCGTAGGCTTCTCAGAGCTGCAATGTGTTCAGTTTTGTGCTCAAGTAGCTCAAGTAGGGATGTGAGGGTGTGTTTGGTAGACAGTAGGTAGATATTTCTCAGCAGAATTCAATTTACTTTCTAAACTGGGAAATCCTCACAAGTGGCATCCCTGGGAAGGTTTCAAGTGTGTGTATCGGGGGGAGGGGGCGAGGTGGAATGGAAATCTGGTGGGAGAACTGAAGTATGTGCACTGCTTGTTTTCTTTCCCAAACTAAACTGCTTTTACACCTGTACAAATGACAAATACAATTTGGTTTGCACAAACAAGATGTTGTCTTTGCTTCATTCTGCTCCAGGCAAAAATTATTACTGCAAGTTTTCATTATGTCATGGCTGCCTTCTTTTGGGGGAATTTTGAAGTGGTTTTACATTGGGTTACTTGACGGTTTCCCATTCAGGAACTGATGTGGTCCTAATTCTTTTTTGTGGCAAGTGTCTTCAGACCATAACCTGGGAATGGTGCACATGGAAAGCCAGGGTGGGGTGTGGATTATAGAGTTGCTGGAAACGCACCATTACGGTATGTGGGTATGAATGCTACAGAACATAGGCAAGAGAAGCGGCCCACAGGAAAATCAGATGCTTTTAAAACTGCTTGATTTTTATTTCCAGTGCTCAAAGTTGATGGCCATTGCTTATGCAGCCCAAATGAATCCCCCAATTATGCAGTCCTACCTGAAAAAAGTGCATCCCACAGACATCCACCAAGTGCTGGTGGGGCAGGTAGAGAGGCAACTGTTCAGCAGCCATGGGGCAGTAGGGAAATGGAGTGTCCTGGGAGAGGGCATTGCTGCCTGGAACCCAGAACAGGAGCAATTCACAGTGCAGTATTTTCCTGCAGGTCCAACTGAATGTGGTTATTACCACAACCATCAGCACCAGCATGTACTGGTCACTTGTCAGCCGTTGCTCTTGGAGGGCCTTAAAAAAGTGCAAAGCATTGGAAGGGACCAGTTAGAGACACTTGGACGCAACACGGGAGGAAAGAGTTCAAGAAGCCGGTGCCAAAAGAACAAGCTGAGGTGCTCAGGGCCATTCTGAATTGAAATAGGTGGTGGGTATAGATCATAGTGAAATCTGCAAAAGATTAAATGCCTCAGACATGCAAAATGCAGTATACAAAGACACAAAGAGGGCAAATGAAAATGGCACCAGGGGAACCTGGAAGGATTTTCCAAAGATAAGGGATCATGATCGAAAAGGTCATTTCTCTGGACGTCTCTGGAAGATGATGGGCGGCGGGGGTCATTGATCAGGACCTCTGGGGTGGATCTTCATAAACTAGAAGGTTCATGTGGAAATAGGATATGCCCATATTTTAACCTGAGCTCTTGAGGACGTTTGCAGGATGCCTCTGTGCAATCGCATTTGCTTACTGAAGATTTTCTCTCATTGCAAACCCGCATGCAAAATACTACAGCTGAATCAGTGGCCTCAACAGTGTAGAAGCTGAGTAAAGCATAACTTTGCATTATGGTAGAGAATGCGGATTTTCTGGAGGAGGAAGGTGGAGGAAGAAGAGTGCGTAAGAAGCCAGACCTTCTATTCAGATCCTTGCCTGCAGATCAGAAGGGCCTGAATTGCAGATCTTGCAAATGTGCGGATGAACAGCAGGGGGAAGTGGTGCATCAGGAGCGTCACCCTTGCTGTGTGTCCTCTTCTGTGCAGCAATGGCTCTGGTATGGATATAGATATATGCCTAAAAGAAGTGAGGAATCTTGCCTTCTATTGTACGTCTCTTTAAGCAAGTTTAGATTAGCTCCTTACTAGTTGCTTCTACATCCAGGCTGCAAAGAGACGTGTTTAGCTTGAATAATGTAATTGCTCCAGTTGTGTGTGTGTGATTACAAGGGCTAGTCTGTAGAAACAAATTCATTTATTTAAGGCTTTTATAGGCCATCCATCTACTGGTGTCTTGGGATGGTTTACAATCATTTTTTTTTCCAGCAATGAAAAAAACCCCCAAATATTTCCCTACCCTCACCCCACTAAGGAAATTAATGCAATGATTTCAAGTGTGTTTTAGAGAAAATCTTCCATATTTATTCAATTTTTTAAAATATACTGCCATAGGCAGGGATACAGATGGAGGATGGCCTAGCGGAAACTTGAAACAGCCATTTCCAATCGTTTTGCAACTGTGCTGGAAGAAGCAAAGGGACTTTCCAACCCCCAAAGCACATTCACTAAATGCTAAATAGTTCAGCTGTCATGTTTGGTGGGATAATTTCAACTGCCTTGAGTGTCTGTCTGACCAAACACGGTGATATTACTGCCACTCTAAAGGACTCTGATGCACCCACAACTGGAGTATTGTGCAGTTTTGGGCCCCTCGTTACAGGAAGGATATGGACAGATTAGAGTCAGTGCAGCGCAGGGCCACAAGGTCGGTGGCCAGTTTGCAGGGGATGGGGTCTGAGGTGAGACTGAGGGAACTGGGTCTCTTCAGCCTGGAGAAGAGGAGACTCAGAGGGGATATGTTGGCAACATGCAGGTATGTGAGGGGATGTCACATGGAGATGGGTAGAGACCTGTTCTCCCCTGCAGAAGAAGGCAGAACACGCTCCAACGGAGCAAAGCTCAGGGAACCCTGGTTCCATTTAGATTCCAGGAAGCACTTCCTGACAGTCAGGACCCCGAGGGTGTGGAATGGGCTTCCATGAGAGGTCGTTGAGGCCCCATCGGTGTGGGTGTTCAAGGATAGGCTGGATGTCCACATGATGGGCATGTCGTGAACAGAACCGACTGGAGCCGGGGATCAGACTAGATGGCCCGGGAGACCCCTTCTGACTCGCTCTGTTTCTATATAATCTCATTAAATAAGTGCATACTGTATTGTAGAAAGAAAGGAGTGGAGTGTGTCGAAAAAGGAGTCCTTAGCATTCCATCCTTCTGTAGGGTAACCTAGAAAGTGAACTTTAAAGGAGGTAACTCCTTTGTCAGTTCCTAGCGGTTAGGTTCTCCAGCAACGGGGGAGGACGTCCCCAGCTAAAGCAATCCCCGATGTTCTTCATTTGACTGGAATGCTTCCACGCATTCTTGCATGGGGGGAGACGACCCTGCAGAGGGGGTCTGAGTCAAGTCTGAGCACAGAGCATGCAGGAGACTGTGTGGCACACAACACTCCACCACATGAACATGCTGACTGTCTTGCTAGTCCCTTATTCTTACGGACTCCTGAGTTAGAATGAAACTCCTGTTGATGAATTCTGCCTCCAGAGACATGAACCAGGAGGAAGGCTTTTCCAGCCACATTACCAATGTTAATTGGTTTTCTTCGTGCCTGGAGGTTTGTGTTATCAGCACCAACTGCACAGTGAATGGCCACTGTTAATAACAAGACGTCCACGTTTTGCATTTAATTTCTTTCTGACCTCACCGTTTACAATTCTTTTCGCACCCACTTCATGTGCTGTGCAAACAACCGAAGCTCTCCATGGCCTCCATGCACCTGATGAAATGGGTTCTGGCGCATAAGCGCTTATGCCAGAATATATGTGCTTCTCTTTTAAGGTGCTCCTTGTTGCCATTGCTGCAATAGATGGCACAGAACTGCCTCTGGAAACTTTTTATCATTTTATACAAATCGGCTTTTGCTTAGCTTATAATTACTTGGTCTGGGGGTGTAGGGGAGGCATAATTAAACAGCCCTCTTCTAGGGGCAGAACTGCCATTACTGATTTCTATTTATGGCTCTCTGATATTTAGCAGGCATACTGTTTGTACAGTTGGCTTCGTAGTAAATTTCCAGTTGGGCAAGGATACAGGAAAAGATCCAAGGGATATCCTGTGGGTACAGTATTGCTTAATGGAAATGTACAACAAGCACTGAGCTATGAGCTATGATTGTACTTTAATGCAGCCTTCCTCAACCCAGTGTCCTGCAAATGGATCGGCTGCACTTCCCATCATTTCCAGAGAGCAGGATGGGAGTTACGGTCCAAGACTTCTGGGAGGCAATATCTAAGGAAAGGCTGGCTTCATGTTATTGCTATTGAGTGTTTGCAGAATGCGTCTAAGCGTGTTTAAGCAAAGGGCAGCCTTGTTGTGTTCAGTGACTTACTTCCAGGTAAATGTGTGTGGAATTACTCTATGCAGTGCCCTGGATCATCTCCCATTCATTGCAATGGAGCTGGTGAGAGGGATCTTCCTGATGGACCATCGCCAAGTCCATTCAGTTTTCAGTTGAGCCTACTCCAGAGTAAGTGCAGCCTCGGAAGAGATTGCATCCTTCTTTCTGGTCTACAACACAGCACAGAGGAGCCACGAGTGCCATATAGTTGTATCTCTTCCATCTTTGTTTTAGCATCTCCCTGCCTCTTCAAAAAGTATTTGCTGCAAAAATTCATCAAAGCAGGAGATGAATTGGAATCACAGGTTGGAATCACAACCACAAGCGTCTTATAGGAACCTGTGTTTCTGTAGCTACATGGTACCAGTCTCCGTTGGGACCACAGTACCTGTCAGAGTGCCTCTCCCAACCTCAATCTCCCTGGACACTACGCTTCCCCTGTGTCCTTCCTCCGGGTGCCAACCTCCTGAGAGGCTTGGCGGGTGGCAACAAAGAAGGAGGGCTTCTTTGGTGGCGGCCCCCTGTCTCTGGAACAACCTTCCTGCTGTGGCCTGCCTGGTGCTAAATTTGCCATCTATTTGGTGCCAGATCAAGACAGCCTTCCTTGTGGATGCTTTTAATGACCTCCCTGGTCATTCAGGGGCCTGAGAGGATTAGCCAGGTGACTTCATTTTACTCTTGGCTGTGTCTCTTTAAGCTGTCTTTTTATTGTCTTTTAATGTTCTTTTATGTTTTTTAAATGTTAAACTCTTAATGTTTTTATCTATTATATTTTATTGCTTTTATATTTAGCTGTAAAATGCCCAAAGAGCTTTGGCTGTGGGTGGTATAGAAGTGAAATAAAGACATAATCCTGTACCAGTAGATCCAAAACCTGGCCACAGTTGTTCATCATAGTAATCCTTACTGCCATCCTACAAAAACAACCACATGTTCGGGATTACATGAGCGAAGCTGGCTGGAGCTGCAGGATCAGACTAGATGACCCGGGCGACCCTTCTGACTTGCTTTGCACTTCTATGTTTCTATGTAGCAAACAGAAAAACAAAACACAGACAGCTGCCTTGATCAACTTCAAGAAATTTGTTCTTGGTGTTTCCATTTGCATCAGGAGCAGGTCCCTTATAAAGTTCATGGGTCTTTGTTGCCCATTCAAGACCAAGCTGCTCACAAATACTTTGCTTCCAGCAGAGAA